TGGCTTCATTCTGCCAAAGAACAGTAATAGACAGTGCATTCTCAATCAAAGCACTGGTCATTTCCTGTGGAAAAATAATTGGGGTATTTTATATTTAGAGAAATGACATATTCATTCCCATAAAAATATTTAATTTTCTTTTCTGTGTTATACTCCTTTGTGTCATTCCAGGCATCCAACCAAAAGCTTTTAGGCTTATAGTTTTTGGCTACGCTGCCAGTTATATGACCCTGGGAGCCTGATGACTGCCTTTGGAAAACAGTGTGATTTTACTATAAAAGGCGCCCTTATGGGTGCATAACTGGTGATGGCCTGTGGGGGACTGACTTCTCCTGGCAATTTTCCTTAGCCAGTTCTACACCCAGTCATAAGTGCTCCTGGTTTTCATTCCATGTGCTCTGAACTTTGGTCTCAAGTTCCTTCTTTTTCTAGCATCCATACAACATGATCTTGGCTTGACAAAGGGGATTGGGTAGGTGAGGGTGGGTGGCTGGGCTGTTATGTGTGATACCAACATATCCTGTTACTTCCAATCCAGTGGATGCATTGTCAGGAAGGAGTGAAAGTCTCATAATGGAGAAGAAAAGATACAAACAAATTGCAGATATGGCATTGAATCTTCTCACAATTTTTACACTATCCTTTTTCTTTTGTCATCTCCCTCTCTTTTTCCTGGCCTGCCCTCTTCTATTTCTCATCTAGGGAAGTGGTTCTCATACTTTTGACCACCAGCAGGGCTTGTTCCAATCCAGACTGTACAGCAGTTTGTGTTTCCAACAAATTCTCCAGTGAAGCTGATGCCGCCTATCCAGGGCCACACTTTGAGGATCGCTGGTCTGAGGTTTGGGCTTTATTCCCATTATATTTTCATCCATCCATTTAGTATTTATTTAAATATTACTGGGTCAGCTTTGTGGTACCATGGATTAAGTCATTGCTTATGATGCCAACATCCCATATTCAAGTGCTGGTTTTTGAGTCCTGGCTGCTCTGCTTCCAAAGCAGTTCCTTGCTATTGTGCCTAGAAAGACAGCAGACAATAGCCCAAATACATGGTTCCCTGCACTCGTGTGGGAGACCAGGATGGAGTTTCAGGCTCCACCTTTTTCCTAGCCCATGTTTGACTGCTGCAGGTATTTTGGGAGTGAACCTGTGGATGGAAGATTTCTTTCTCTTTCTGTCTCTCCCTCTCTCTGTTACTCTACTATTCAAATGCATACATACATACATACATACATATGTATATAAATAAATATATAAATAATTTTTTAAAAAAATAAACATTACTGAGCTAGGCAGTTCCTTAGACATAGCAAAGAACTCAGCTTTTGGGACTGGCATTCAGCACTTTTTTAATAAATGTTAAAGGGCTTGCAAACTATTTTCCCAAACCTCATTACCTGTGGGCACAAAGCACCGTTTAGTAGGAGTGACTGAAATCACACTGGCGCTTACCCTCTCCTGCATAAAACATGACTTTCAGTACCTCCCCCCCCAAACAGTTAGTCATGTCTCAGGGGTGCCAGAGATTGTCAATAACATGCTTATAACCTAGTCATTACTAGTCATCACACTTGGGCCTCACTCCTGGATGATTCTGCCTGTGCCGCTACCCAAGGACAACTTTTCTGTTGCTGCCTTCTGTGGGAGCCAGGATGTCCATACTGGGGATGCTGCCTACCCGTGCTCCCCAAATTGCCAACAGTTACAGGTGCCTAAGCAGAGACGAGGAGAATGAGGTGCTCCCCATCTCGGTATCACATTTCCTTACCTGGAAGCTGATGTACGGCACTAAGGCTTTGACATCTCAAAGAACAGTACATGAAGCTATCAGGGTCTTCCTGGCACTGATCTTTCCTGGCACTCAAGTCTGTAGGGCTGGGGAGGTGGGAATAGGCAAGCAGGCAGGGTATCAGATAGTAGCATTTTCTGACTTTTCTCAAACATTTTGTTCATCTCTTCGTAAAATGTGCATGTAGTTACACATCCTGATGACTTCTTCTACCTATGGTACATCAGAATCACAGTGGCTGACACACAAAGTCTCAAAACTATCAGATACAAATTATTGACAGTTTCCAAATTTCTCTCTACTGCCTTCTTCTGCACTTTAATGGTGTTTGTTTCTGATCTCAATGCATTTCTAATGTGCCAAATTCAATCTAGTGTAGCAGGAGCCTTCCTTCGTTTCCATGTTTTCTGTGTTTTTTATTTTATTTTATTTTATTTTATTTTATTTTATTTTATTTTATTTTACACAAACTACCCCTTAGGTGAAAAGAGATTGTTTGCAGCACTATGCCAATTTCCTGCAAGGAGCCGCAAGATTAAGATAGCTTTATTCAATGTTACTCTTCTACCAAGACAGAAAATTACTTTATCTCAAGTCAGTCTATCTAAGCCAAGGATGACCTAGGGTCACATGTCTGACCTGATTTCTCATCTATGTGTGTGGCCTGGATGGTGTTTGGGCGTCAGAGTATTGAGGCCTTCATTGTCCACTTCTGAAATAGAGAAGCTTGGCTGTCCAGAAGAAACTCAGGCTAGCCTCCAAATTCTTCTTGTACCCCATGATGACTCCATGAATTATTAGGTTTTAAAAGTAAACAAATTGTAATTATTCTCATATATATTTGTCCTTTCAAGCTTAGGTCAGATTGCGTCTCATACATTTTTATCCATCTAGTATATTATGGTATGTTCAAACAAAGATTTTTGAACTTCTGGTCATGTGACAGAACCATCCTAAAACAAAAAGAACTTTGAGGTAATAGAACAAATATTTCTAAGGAAGTGAGTCTAAATAGATTATTGTAGGAGATCTCTGTACTGGGAAAAGGCAGTCAGCCCTAACCAAGTGTCAGATATAAGAGAGAACACCCTCTACAATGAAATTCCAGGTATCTGCTCCATTTTGGTGCTGTTTTGGTCATGTATGAGAGATCAGGTTCTGGCATTCAGTGTTATCTTTTATGTTACCATTTGTGGGGCTGGCTCTTAGGGACAGGTGATTTTCTCCCCTAGTGTTCTTCTCCTGCAACTAGATGTAGCTATACAGGCCAACAGCAAAGATGTTCTTGGGGTGAAGAATCCAATGTTAGAGAAAAGTGCACCTATTTCTGTAAAAAAAAAAAAAAAGACAATACATATAATTTTGTATTACAACTTAAAAGACAGTTCCACTATAGAGCACCATTTTAAGAATTCCTTGGTCCCATTAAACACCTTTATGATAAAATTTCAAAGATTGTTAGGCTGTTTCCCCATTGGTGGGACAGAGCAGCTAGTGGTATTTAGGACAGAGAGTAAAATGTATCAACAAATTCCACGTGGCAAGAAGGACAGGTGTTGCACACAACAACCTGAGCTAAAAGCTAGAGCTGTGGCTCTGGAAGAGAGAGACCCTAGAGGTCAGAAATGGGGTGAGCAAGGGTTAGGAACCCAGAGGAAGGGTTGAGTCAGCACAGAACCAGCAATAAATTGTTTATCTGTAGGTCTTAGTCTGTGTGGCAGACAGAGGTCACCAAGAGCAAGGAAAAGCTTAACACTCAGCTTTTCAGGGACCAGAGTCCTTTCATCTCCTTTGCTTTCCGAGTGCTCTCAGGAGCTGGGTGAGTGGTACACCTGACAGGAGTGGGAAGTGAGAGTGCTGATGATGGGGAATCAAAGGCCCTCTTCATTGTCTAATCTGGTCCTAGAGCTGTCCCAGACCGAAGGTGAAACAGCTCTTACCACACTTGGATCTTACAGTTGGAAGCCTTGAAGGATTTACAAATTATTTCACTGCCTTTGGAATCTGAGACTGATCATTTAACTGTATAAAGGTGCTAATTTGCTTCTGGAACTAGCTATTTAACTCTTAGAACTGTGAATTACAACTCTTTGCACTATGGATTTCTGAGCTCCACCCAGATTAAGCTAGAGTCTTGGAATGGTGGATAGGGCCTAGGCAGTCATAAATTTAAACATCTCCAGTGAGGTTATTGTCCTGTAATTTTTAAGTCACTAAAGTGAAATGAACTCTTCATTGTAAGTGGAGATAGGGCAACAGAAGCTCAGTGCTTTAAGATTCTGTTTAAAGGGAGGGAGCAGAACATAAACCTGGCTCTCTCTCTCTCTCTCTAGCCGGTTCTCTGCAGGTCATATACTTCAGTTTGCACTAATCCCAACTATGGCTGTAAGAAAAGACAGTGTGCTGCTCTTTTCCTAAATAAGAGACGTTTTAGGGTGGGAGAGGAGTCTACCAGATTTACTAACTCATGAAACTCATATCTACTCCCTAGGCCTTTCTCCACTAAAACAGTTGCTTTTTCAAACAGAGGAGACTTCTGGTCAGAGAAGTTATTCTTTCAAATAAGTGAAAATATTAAAATAGTTTTTAAAAAGCAGCGGTATAGTTTTCCTATCAATAAATTCACATTTGTTGTCTAAAAAAATAATTCTGTGCTTGTGGAAGTGTGTGATTTCAGAGTTTTGGTGCACAAAGAAAAGGATTTGATCCCCAAGTTCTTACAAAATTTAGCCAAAACCTGCAGGTAGTTCTAGGCTACTGTCAATATTCTCTTTCCTCTGTGCCATAGAACTTTTAAACAGGGAGGGAGCGAGACCCAAATTTAGGAGCGCTGAAATAACAGTCTTATAATTTTTGGCATTGTACCACTTGGAAGTTTAGTCTCATTCATATATATATATATATATATATATATCACTCCTTGCTTTTCTTCTGCATTGTAAAATGTAGTATTTTTAGGATTATACTCCTTACTCTTCTATCTACTATCACAACCTTCTTTTCTGTAGCAGAAAATAAAAATGCCTCTTCCCTTCTTGCTTTCTGATTCTGTTTGCTATAGAAGAAAATAGAATAAGCTTTGTGAGACTTCAAGGTCATCAGCTCCTGCCTTTGTGCCAGGACATGCAAACAACTTAGGCCAATCACTAACCTGTTTTTAAAAGAAAACCTCCAATCAGAAAGTATCTGCGACTTCTTTTTGTGAAGTGCTGCACTGTGCAACTGCACACTATAAATGCCTCTCCTATCTATGTGCACTCTTATCTCACTGCTCTATTTTCTCCCTCATTATTATTAACTCTTTCCAACCTTTCTGAAATCCTAGGCCTATTCTTTTCAGAATTGGTGAGAGACAAGTGCTACTCTAAACAGTCAAGATGGTATGGTGAGTGGCAGCTCCTGGGCCCTCTGGGGCTTAAATCTCAAGCTACATGGAATGAACACAGGGCTGACTGCATTCTTCATTCTGCAAGGTACTTATTCAGCTACTGCTGCTCCTCTAAGCTAAGTAAACACTCTCAATCCTTTTCAACTTCATGAGCCTGATATTTCTGAGTCTGTTTGCAAAACAGGACACTAGAGGGCACCCAGGGGTTAAAAATAAGTGGGAAGTTACTTGAATGAAAACTGTACGGCATTTGTTTTTTCATAATTTAAAAATTAAAGTTGATTTTAAACTATTTTCTCAAGTTACTTATACATGTTAAAACTGTGCAGTAGCCCGTTTACAGGTAACCATTTTGCTTTGTAATCAGTTGTTTTCAAGGGAGCTTTTAAGGCTGAGCTGAAATGTTTGAAATGTGGAACACTCTTGACCATGAAATATGTTCTACTTACATGCCTCAGCCTTTAAAAGTTCTTTGCATTAGAGTCAGGGATTACATTCTCCCTGGAGCCAAGCATGGGGCCAGCTGTGTAAGTAGGGCTGCTTACGAGTTCCTTCTTTTTAATAATGTGAAAAATGTAACTATCGATTGATTATTTTAATTTCTTTTAATTTCCACTTGGGTGGAAAGACAAAGAATTAAAAGCATTTGGATTTGTATTCTGTGTGTGTGTGTGCATGTGTGTGGCTGAATATATGTAACTGCTTCTAAGATATATGGACATTCATGGCTTTATATTGTAATAACACTATATGAGATAATGGAACTCATTGTGAAGAAACTTCTTTTTACTATTACATAAAGAGAATATGTGTCTGCAGTTTGAATATTAATACTTGGTGCTTCCACTCCATTAATTAGAGAAGGACTCTTAAAAATAGCTATGAGATAGCTGTAGATTCTGAAATACCATCTATAATTTGCCTTATTTCTGAATTTCAAAAGGAAACACCCAGGTTTGCCAAATTTTAATGCTTTGCTTCAGAATCAAGTGAAAGGAGTCTGACTCTAACACAGGTTAGAAAAATAGTCTTGGACTTTTGTGGCTTGTTTTCATTACTTTAAACTGAATCTGTTTTCGTTTTTAACTGATTTTTTTTCTCCCTTAACTTTTACTGGTGACAGTTACGAAAGGAAAGGGTTACTCTTCTCTTTTGTATAGGAACTGAAATGGTTTGAAACTGTGACTCAGTGAACTCTGTTTCCATTCATTCCCAGAAGCCAGCCACAATTCTCCGTGGGGAGGCTGATAGGACTTTAAGAGGTTTGCTGTGGAGAGTGTCAAAAACATTCCCACCTCCCTCACCGAGGCTTTTCATGCACCTCTGCCCATTGGAGACCACTTAGACACACAAGCGGACACGACACTGAATCCAGGAAACCATGCATCATGTCGGCAGGAGCCAGGAGCAGACTTTAAACTCTGCTCAACATGTGCAAGCGGCAGAGAAATGACCTGTCCAGACAAGCCGGGACAACTCATAAACTGGTTCATCTGTTCCCTGTGCCTGGCGCGGGCGCGCAAGCTCTGGAGCAGCCGGCGGCCAAGGACCAGGAGAAACCTCCTGCTGGGCACTGCCTTAGCCATCTACCTGGGCTTCCTGGTAAGCCAGGTGGGACGGGCCTCTCTCCAGCACGGACAGGCGGCCGAAAAGGAGCCACACCACAGCCGTGACACAGCAGAGGCCCCCTTCCCTGAGATACCCTTGGATGGAACTCTGGCCCCCCCGGAGTCCCAGGGCAATGGGACCACCTTGCAGCCCAATGTGGTGTACATTACCCTACGCTCCAAGCGCAGCAAGCCTGCCAATATCCGTGGCACGGTGAAACCCAAGCACAGGAAGAAGTACGCAGTGGCGTCTGTGACCCTGGCGCTGGAGGCCTTGGCTGGACCATCGCTTCAGCTGCAGGAACCTGCCAGGGCTGTTGAAGCTCAAGTGCCTGGGTATGCTCAAGGAGATAACCTAGCAAAGAGACCCTGGAGGTTGGTGCGGGGTCCCGCAGTGCGAATTGGAGGCTCAGACTGGCAGCTGCCGAAGGCCCGTGAAAGCAACATCAGGATCTACAGCGAGAGCGCCCCCTCGTGGCTGAGCAAAGATGACATCCGTAGAATGCGGCTCTTGGCGGATGGTGCGGTGGTGGGGCTCCAGCCAGTGTCTTCTAGGGGCGGTGCCCGCTTGCTGGTTCTGGAGGGGGTCGCCACTGGCTCTGTGCCCCGCTGTGGCCCTAGCCCCTGTGGGCTGCTCAAGCAGCCATTGGACATGAGTGAGGTGTTTGCCTTTCACCTGGACAGGATCTTGGGCCTCAACAGGACCCTGCCTTCTGTGAGCAGGAAATCAGAGTTCATCCAAGGTAACAGATTCGCATGCCTCGTTATTTGCAGCTGTTGGGTATTCGGGTTCATTTTCTCTTTTTCTAAATGATGTTTCTCCACCCACGTCTCACATTTGGATAGCAGCAGCAGTACCAGCAGCAGCAGTGTTGTCTTTCCGTGCACTTGGCATTCTTTCTTTTCCCAGCCTGGAGGGATGTGAGAGTTCCAGGGAAATGCTGTGCTGGACATGCAAGAGTAAGCCCACACTGTGTAATCTTTGCTCTCCATTTCCCTTGCTGCACTTCCCGGTGGCTTATTAAATCTAATTGAAGCCAAGGGTAATTTGCATGATGAGGAGAGGAAGCTGGGGTGGAGGCAAAGAACTTGCTGACAGTCAGGCATATTATGATAGGTTACTATGGGACTAAGTAAACTTTTGTTCTTGGGAAGTTTTTAAAAGCAAGGAGGAAGTAGGTTATCTTTGTTTAGCAGACAGAATATTTTTAAGAGGCCCAGAGCCAGATCATGTCAGATTCAACTCCTTTTTTTAAAAAAAAAAAAAAAGAATAGATTTAACTCTTCTATTTAGCAAATTTTTAAAAAATTAGCCAAAAATATGATGTGTGCAGTGTTTCCTCTAACTCACCAGGCAGATTCTTCCAGTTGTTGACTGTAGATTTTTGAGGCTGGTCTCTGAGATTCCTTTTTCTATGTTACAAAGGTCTTGGCAGTTTCTAGAGTAGGTAACTACTAACTGCTGTTGCAGGTGAAACTATTGGTCTGTGGCCATGCTTATGTCATATAATCAATATTCTCTGAATATTACTATTCCATGGTTTGAATCCAAAGTACAGTGAGTCATGGGCTTGTGTTTGAGTGCAGAATGATCCCAACAGTTACAGCTATGAATCCAGGCTGACATTCAAGACTAAAAAGGACCCCAAAGAGATTGTAAACTCAGAATATACTCTGTTTTGCCTTGTAACCATAAATTTTGCAACCCGCATTCTAGGGAGCCTAGAATGGAATAAAGTCCTTGGGAGTGGCCAAGAACTAAACTGCATTCCCAATGACTTTGTGATTATTAGTAATTTAGCTTAACAATAGAGACTTTTTTTTTTTTTTACTTAAGAAAAAAACGAGGTCTATCTAGCTCACAGTTTTAGAGGCTAAAAATCCAAATGGTGGGATACAGACTCAGGAAAAGTCTCCCACGGCACATGGTGCATGGCAGAGCATGTGTGTAGGAAGAGCCAATCAGCAAGCCAGGAAATACAGCTAGAATGAATACTTCTTAAAGTATTGGTAATTTGCTTAGAAATATTTGTCATTCCTTGCTTATACTGGTTCATGTCTAAGTGCTTCAGGTTCACAGGCATGTTTTGATGGCTCAAGTTCACAAGATAGTTCACCATTATAAGCCTATTATGGGAAATCCTTTTAACATTTCTTCTAATGTTAATAAAAGCTAATATTTTTGGGTGTTCCTTATTTGCTAAACAGTACACTAGTATATCCACAGAGTTCATTTGTTCACTAATTCCTACAGTTCTTACTACACTGCTGGGAGTCAGGTGCTATTATTATTTCCATTTAGTAGATGAGAGAATTGAGACTTATTTAGGAAAAAGAACTTGGTTTCAACTTCATAGCTAATAGATGGATGAGCTGGGTTTCAAATTTAAACTCAGGGAAATTTGGAACGTAACCTTTCCACCGCTGGACTTAGGTAATTATCCAAACTGCAGCACTCCGGAGTGGAAGGAGATCCTAGGGGGCTTTCCTTGGGCAAGTGTACACCAAGATTGCCTTGGGCATGAGATCACCCTCATTATGTTGTATTGGCATGCATTATCATGTCATAAAGGTGCCAGAGAAGATGAACTTTTGGTTATATCCCAAGGCAGGGTACTATGATACATCCTTTGACCTTCCCTAGGATGCACTTGGATGGAATTTGGGAGAATGAAATAGTGGATTATAGCCTTTGCTCTAGAGTTAGACTGACTGGACTTATATTTACTATTCATATGACTGGTGAATGCTGAATTCTCTCTCTATGCCTCAGTTTCCTCAGTTGTCAAATGACAATACTGCCCACTTTCATGAGGTTGCTGTTAGCGAATATATGGGTAATGATGTTTTGCCAAATGTAAGTATTCAATAAATGTTGGCCATTGTTGTGACTGCACCAAGCATATTTTTTACCATGTTCCCTTTCGCAAGTTACTCATAGAGGCTCCAGCCTTCTTATATCATATCTTTATGTGACAGGACTATAATTAAAATCCAAGTCTAGTGACTTCTTAATTAAGATTTTTGTTATCAGGGCTGGCACCACGGCTCACTAGGCTAATCCTCTGCCTGCGGCGCCGGCACCCTGGGTTCTAGTCCCAGTCGGGGCACCGGATTCTGTCCTGGTCGCTCCTCTTCCTGTCCACCTCTCAGTTGTGGCCCGGAAGTGCAGTGGAGGATGGCCCAAGTCCTTGAGCCCTGCACCCGCATGGGAGACCAGGAGAAGCACCTGGCTCCTGGCTTCGCATCGGCATAGCGCGCCCCCTGTAGCAGCCATTTGAGGGAGTGAATCTCACTGTCTAACTCTGCCTGCATAAAATAAATAAATAAATAAAAAGTCTTAAAAAAAGATTTTTGTTATCAGGATTCCTTTTAGATCTTTATTTCTGTGCTCTGGAGTTCTAGCATCTTTGAGAATAAAGATATCAAAGAGGGACTCATTTTCTCAGGTGTTCTCTCCAGTCATATGTAAGTGATAAGAGAATGCAATGAAGGTCATATTGATTTGACTTAATTTGATGAATTAAGTCCTGAAGATTATATTTTAAGCAATACCAGATCATTTTTGTTCTCTCTTTGATACTTTCCCTTATTTGGTTATTTAGAGTCAAAAAATCAGGCCAGTTTCCCCAGGAGCCTATAAAATTATTTACAAATAGTCATGAGCACTTCGCACAACATAATTCTATGCATGTGGACTGTAGTGATGCAAAGTACACAAACAAACCAGTTCTGATCATGGTGGAGATAGTCTTAGGTTCTCAGTATCTCTCTCCATCCATGTATTTCTAGTGTTTTTCTGACCTGTGTTTCTTTACCTGATTGCCTTGGAAGTGTGTATATTCCTTCTAAGAGACTTCTTGTTCTTGCAGAGTCCAACTTGGAATTATTTGAGCTTCTTAGATATACCCAAGGTGCTACTAGATCTTAAACAGTTACCAGCAACTATTTCTGGCTCATTCTACCTAATATGCATTTTACATAATATGCATTTGTATCATACTGCTTACTTAATAATCTGTTCCTTCCTACTAGTATCTAGGTCTGTGGAGACTGAGATATTCCCTCTTTTCTTTATTGTTGTACTTGTGGGTTTTAGTGGAGAATCTGGCACATCGTAGGCACTCAATAAATACTTTGAATGACTGCAGGAATGCATTTGTGTCTTATTCCATTGACTTTGAATAGTAAATCTACATTTGCCTACAGTTTCCAATACTCAGGACAAGTACTAAGATCTTTAGTCCTAAATCCAGTCTGGAATATCTTCTCAAAGACCTTATCAAGAGTTCATTGTGGAGATAGTTTAAATTATCCATGGAAGTCTCTTTATAATGCCAATAGGAAGACTGATAAGGACTTATTTTCATGAGAACCATCAATATAGTCTTTTGGCATTATACTGCCATATAATTTGATACTAGGTTTTCTGCAGGAAGAACAAAATTCAGATTAGGTATATATTTCTCTGATGACATGGCTTGATCCAGGAGAATATCCTTTAATACTGAGGAGAATGTGTAGTCAGCAAATCTTTTTTTTTAACTTTTATTTAATGAATATAAATTTCCAAAGTACAGAATATTGATTACAATGACTTCCCCCCCATAACGTCCCTCCAACCCACAACCCTCCCCTTATCCACTCCCTCTCCCCTTCCATTCATATCAAGATTCATTTTCGATTCTCTTTATATACAGAAGATCAGTTTAGCATACATTAAGTAAAGATTTCAACAGTTTGCTCCCACACAGAAACATAAAGTGAAAAATACTGTTTGAGTACTCGTTATAGCATTAAATCTCAATGTACAGCACACTAAGGACAGAGATCCTACATGAGGAGTAAGTGCTCAGTGACTCCTGTTGTTGACTTAACAAATTGATACTCTTGTTTATGGCATCAGTAATCACCCTAGGCTCTTGTCATGAGCTGCCAAGGCTATGGAAGCCCCCTGGGTTCACTGACTCTGATCATTTTTAGACAAGGCCATGGTCAAAGTGGAAGTTCTCTCCTCCCTTCAGAGAAAGGTACCTCCTTCTTTGATGACCCATTCTTTCCACTGGGATATCACTCGTGGAGATCTTTCATTTCGGTTTTTTTTTTCCCCCAGAGTGTCTTGGCTTTCCATGCCTGAAATACTCTCATGGGCATTTCAGCCGGATCCGCATGCCTTAAGGGCTGATTCTGAGGCCAGAGTGCTGTTAGGACATTTGCCATTCTATGGGTCTGCTGTGTATCTCACTTCCCACGTTGGATCGTTCTTTCCCTTTTTTATTCTATCAGCTATTATTTTCAGACACTATTCTTGTTTATATGATCCCTTTGGTTCTTAGTCCTACCATTACGATCAATTGTGAACAGAAATTGATCACTGGGAATAGTGAGATGGCATTGGTACATGCCACCTTGATGGGATTGAATTGGAATTCGCTGGTATGTTTCTAACTCTACCATTTGAGGTAAGTCAGCTTGAGCATGTTCCGAATTGCACATCTCTTTCCTCTTTTATTCCCACTCTTATATTTAACAATGATCACTTTTCAGTTAAGTTTCAGCACTTAAGAAGAATTGTGTATTGATTACAGTATTCAACCAAAAGTATTAAGTAGAACAAACAAAAAAAATACTAAGAGGGATAACATATTAAGCTGCTCATCAACAGTCAGGGTGAGGGCTGATCAAGTCACTGTTTCTCATAGTGTTCATTTCACTTTAACAGGTTTCCTTTTTGGTGCTCAGT